GGGCTCCCCCCGCTCCTCTGAGCCCCGAAACCGGCCTGGAAATGGGCGCGGAGCCGGGAGACTTAAATCTGGGGGTTCATTCCAGTGTGCGCGGGCTGACGGTGGGTTGTCCCCGGCGGGGAACTGGCCGTTGTCAGTTTCCTGCTCGCGGTTGTGGGTTTTTTCCAAAAAAAACGTCATCGATGCTTTGGCGGAGGCCGGGGCTGCAAGGCGGATTTCGGGCCGGGTGTTTTGGGGCAGTGCATAGCTTCTCCTCTTCGCGAACTCAAGTGAGACTGATCTGAGCTTTAAAGAGTTTATTACCGATTTTGTTGTTCATTTATTTCCCACGCACACGCGTATTTCCCTGCAGCGATGTGACTGACTGACCGTCGGTGCGTGTGGTGGCTCAATGCCTGGTGCCGCCGGTGCAGGTGCTCGGGTTTCACACAGGGGCTGGACTGGCCAGATGTTACGGTATCTGCTTGTTCAGTAGCCGGCACGGTACCTCCTTTCTTTAGAAGGTTCCAACTGGAGGCAGACTTAAGATCTGAATTCAAAAACCCTTAAACAAGGAGTAGAAACTAAAGGAAATTTCACCCAGGTTACAAATAAAGAAAAAACACTGTATTTAAGAATCACTGGCAGGTTGCAGACTTCTCTCTCTATTAGGAGAAATCTGGAGTTTTACATCACTCTAGCAAAGATGGAAATCCAATATCCATTTTCCATCACCGAAACTCCCAACTTCATATTTCTTGATAATGCACGTTCTTATTGTAGTTTTCATCTTTCTTTCTTCTCATCTTGTTCTACTCTGGAAAAGTTATATATTTTTCATACAATTTACTTATTTTCCAGTATGGTTGTACAAGGCTGTGCTGATGTGCATGACCTCAGGTGAAACAGAATGAAAATGCACATGCTGGTATGTGTCCTGACAGATAGTGATAAGTCATAGCTGTGATCAGCATCCTGAGGTTCACTGATACATGCTCAGACACTGATTGTAGGAGATGGAGCTGCACTGACATTTTTTCCTTCTGCTGTTCTTTGTTGATGTAGTGATTCCCGATGAAGATAAGCCATAGAAAAATAAATTCTTTTCTTAATTAACATGTAAGTGCTTATTTGGAAACAAAGTTAGGCAAACCCTATGAAGATGCACTAGAAATTAAGGGATGTGAGAAAGAGAAATGGTTGAGATCTGAAAAGGTATATTGCAGGATTTAGCTCATGCACTCTTGCAAAACTGCAGTGAAAAGTTTCCGTAAGTGAATCTGGATTCATGTTTAGCACTAACCTCAGAGTGGTCTTCGTTGTTCAAGCAGGAATACCATAGATGTGTTTTACATGCAAAACAACATTTTGTGATCTAGTACTCTGTAGAATCTTTCAGGTGGAGAGAAAGCTACAAAAATTTATCAGTTCTGAAAGAACTTTCATGTCAGTTGTTGCATGCAGCTTCACCTTGTATCTACCTATACCAGCAGAGTCTGTGTGAAAAGACCTCTTGGAAAGTAATAATTGGTCATCTTATGTGAGTATCCCACCCTCTTAGTGTTCAGGTTGTGGTGCACTTGTTGGGTGCTGGATATGCACTGACTTCAGTGTCATTGGATACTCACAGAATCCAAAGCTAGTTTATGAATTAATTCTAAAAATGAATTAACATTTTCTTTCTGTATTTGACTTCCAAATAAGCATTAAATCTATAGAAGAGCTCAGCTAAACTGTTTGAAGAGATGGCACTTACCTAAGCTGAGGCTGCCCTGGCGCTCAGAGAACAGTTCCCTCTGGCATTCCCAGTTGTCCATCAGATACTGGTGTTTTTCGAAGCAGACCTAACACACTTCAAAGTGGCTGGCAATAAAATGTAGTTGCTTCTTACTCTCAATACTATGTTATTTGTGAGCAGCACTAGTTCAGGAAACTGTTCTCAAAACCATCATCTGGGGTTTAGTGCAATTCTGGTATTCAGATGCATTGTCCTTAGGGTTCTTATAAACACTCAGCACTGCAGAATTCCTTGCTGTGGCATGGGAAGGCCTGTCCTGAAGACGATTCAGAGATTATTTTATGAGTAGGAAAAAAATATGCTTAAGTAGAAGTTACACTTTAGAAAACATGTATTTTCTACATTTAATATTGATATAGAATACTACACTAGCTTAGTTTAAATTTCTAAGTACTAGCATAGAGTAATTTAATTTTGAGGATTCACTGAATAACCAGGAAATAAAAATAGGGAAAGTGTAAGGAGTTTCCTGTTACTTGACCAAATTCATTCAATGGATGGCTATAGAAAAAGATGTGTGAATGATGACAAAAATTACACTGGATGAGGGAACCAATATTTTTTAGAAGTTCCTAGGACCCTATCTTTGCTTTTAACCTCTTGACAGCTGAACATCTCTGATAAAATCTTGTAAAATTCTCTTCCCTGATTTGATCAGCCAAACAGTTGCATTCTGCCCACAAAGCAAGCTAATTCTCATGATGTTAGTGATCATTTATTGTCTTGTTTTCTGGATGTGCTCAGTTGCTTTGCTGTTCTCAATATACTTTTTGAATTACTGCTAACTAATTTGAAATGTTCTGGTTTTGCAGCCCAACTGGATCCCATGTGGAATGGTGTAAACAGCTGATAGCTGCGACCATTTCTAGTCAGATTTCAGGGTCTGTCCCATCAGAAGGTGTGTCCAGGGACTACAGGGTAAGTGACTTGAGGAATACATTGATTTGTTTAAGAGGAAAGCGTGAATGATCAGGAAAGTCTTTGCTACCTTGATTATTAGGTGGTAAGTACTTTAAGCTATTGCTGAATATTTGAGAACTAGAAACATCTTGTTATGTTTAGGAGTCTTTTGAATCTGCTTTGTGTTTTCGTCTATATTTAAAATAGTGGCATTAAAGTCTACAGAATAAAAATTAAGAAAGAGGTGAAAGGAAAATTAAAAGCCAGTGTTTTGAATAAAATGCCAAAAGTGAGTTGTCTTTTCTTTTGATTAATACATTTAATAAAAAAAGAGTAAATTAATAGTTACAGGTTTGAAAGTGTTTCTAGTGTGTGTCATTCAGAGTACAGAATTGAGCTTTCCAGATTTCACAAAAGAGAAATGCAGATGTCTTTGTTAACATGTAAAGAACATAAATTACTATTATTTTTCATGGGGTTTCACCAGGGAGAGAATTTAACACCAAGCAACCAAACAAAAAATCACCTTTTGAATTCCCTCCCGCCAACATTTTTGTCACTAAGGTAATGATTGCACAGTATGGTTTACCTGTTAGGTTCTATTATGCTTTTTTACCCCAATTCTTTCATATTTTTTTACCCCAATTCTTTCATGTTCATTTGTGGTTTCCTATATGTAGCCATATAGGAACCGAACTATCCAACTGAACTCTCGGGAGTGGAGCATATACAGTTTTCCTTCTCTTAGAAATTCACAGAAGTCACCTTTGTTTCAAGTCTCTTTCAGAAACCCAGGCTTCTGCTATCTAGATCCTTTTTCCTTTCCAGATTTGAAACCCTTTCATAGTCTTTATTTAAAATGGCCAAGTGAAGATTTTATCCTTTTTTTTGTTTGTTTGTTTGTTTTTAATTAGATTTTAAATTATTTTCTAACAAGCTTTATGGTTTAAAAGTTTGTTGTCCAGAACCAGTGTATTTTAGATTCTGTGACGGCAGGTCAGATTCAGCCCAAGCCTGAAGATGAATCCACAAAATGTTTTTGGCTGTAGTCTACTTGAAAATTCACCTTCACAGAGTTTCACATTATTGGCATGGTCAGCAGCTTATGCTCATAAAAAAGTGTAGCTCTTCCATACTATGGCAGCTGAATTGCAAATGCTTACTTCAAGGCTAACACCTTTGATAAAACATTGTGGGAAACCTTGCATGACAGCTGTCGATTGTTGTATTTGCCCTGTAGATCAAGGACTTTTTTTTTTTAGTAAAATCCAAGTATGTAAGCTTGGTGTTCAGTTTATCTCTGAGTTAGAACACATTCCTCTGGTATAAAGAGTACTTTGGAATTCTAAGTAATGTCCTTCTCTATACTGAATTCCTCTTGGGTGTTATTTAACAGGAATAAGTCTTTCAAGGCCTAGTTAAATTCTACATCATTCTCTGTTTCATAAAATGAAAGAAAAAAAAAACAAAAAACAAACCTGGTGGTATTCAGAATTTTGTGTATAAATTGTATTTGGTACCATTGCATTGCTGTGATTTGAAATCCAATATTTGTGTATGATATGATGGCATTTTTTATCTTAATACCTTCAGTTACATTCAGGCCTAGTATCTTGTGAAGTGGCGTCTATGCTTTAAGAGAAGGTTTCCTTTGCACTTAGCTTTTGCAAGAGTTCAGTGGTACGATTAGTTACTTAGTCAGTACCACTGGCAGGCTGGGTTTATTCATTATGAATGTGGAATTCACGTGTAAAAAGATAACGCCCATTTATAACTCAGTTTTCCTTTGAGACATCTTTCTCTTTTGATGTACACTGATCAGTTTCTGGGTCTTCATTACCTTTGCCTACCTTGAATCGCTGCATTTAGAGACTGTCTTAGAACAACTTGGAACATACAGGTAGGGCCAGGTGTGTGTGTGTGTTCCTGGAACTGGTTCAGGCAGTTCTGTTGCTTTCTGCTGGATTTACCAGGAACTCACTGCTTTATTCTCTCTTTCATCTTTTTTTTTTTTTTAGTGTTTCAATCAATATGTTTCCAAAAATAAGCAAATCTATCGATTCTTATATCTAATGGTGTTACGCATGTTACTTTGTTTAACCTACCAGAATGTAATTTAGAGGAGGGTGAAGATGGAAGGAACGGGGCCGCAAATGGAATTGTCAAAACTGGAGAGCACTGAGCAAGCTCTTGCTTGCTAAACCCTTCAGCAACATGATCTCGCTGAGCTCTGCTGTGTATGTCTTCTCTGACATACTCTCTGCGTGGAGAGTATTCTTGAATGAGGGGTTCATCTAAATGAAAATTACTTAGATTATAGTAGCTGAGCATAGATGCCTTCAAAAATAAGTTTAGAAGAGTTGACACTTCCTTGATTTGCCATTTGAATCTAAAAGATACGGGGTTGTACTTCAAGATTGTTACTGCAGGCTCATTGTCTTCCACCTAGAAGGATTACCAGCCTCTTTCTTCTCTTTTCACAATAGCACATTGTAACTGGATAAAATGGTGATTAGGAATGAATGTTTCGAAAGAGCTTGCCATTTGTTACATTGCTAAAATGAAGTAGCATGATTGCTTTTAGACCAAAACAATTTGGCAAATGAGAGCTAGTAGATCTGCATAGTTTTGTTTCAGTCTTTCAAAATCCAGCTATAATTAAAATGTTTGGAAGTAGAGTTCTTCTGAAAATCTGATGAGCTTAGCTTATATATTTAACAAATCAAATATGTGTGATTTGTTGGATAACCTTTTATATTTTAACTAACAGGTGTACAGGAGGCCTGTTATACGGGTAAGATTACCTTTGACTAACAGTAAAATGGCCTCCTACCTGTTTGTCTTTTGTGCTGTGTGAGATCTTGGTGTGTCAAGTGTTCTTCTTTACTTCATTAATGGTTTTTATGAACCAGTCAGACCATTTTGCTATGCAGTGCAACAGCTTCTTTGCCATAGATATGCTTTATATACATTACAATGTTTTCATGAGCAATAAAAGTCAATGTGTAAGAGAGCAGTATTTTTAAATTATGTTTTGAATGTGCAACACTAACTTCAGTTTTATTACATTAATTTTGACAAAATGGATGCTTGCAGCTGAGGCTTACATGCTTCGGACTACAGAGTACTGTATTAGCAGCTCTAACATGTTATCTGCGCTAAAGAATATGAGTGGTAAAAGCATTATGTCTTTGTCAGTCATATTTAAATAAGATACCAAGTCATGCTTGCCTTTACACCTGTTTTACTTTAATTGTTACCACCCTTGTAGTACAACTGAAAGTTAAGTTTGAACTTAGACACTAGTGCTATGACTTGCATCTTTTTAATAATTTTGAGACTGGGTCTTGCCTGTTGTTCACTGGAGAGAGAAGAAGGGCATGCCTTGTTTTCTTGTCCCTATCTCTTAGTAACATTTATGGAGTGAAAAATGATCTGGATAGTGTTCTGACATTGTTCATGAAATGTGTCTAACACTTATATTCAAACAAAGACCTCTTGTTCAGTCTCAAGCCAAGAGGAGAAGTCTGAATGATTTCTTTTTCTCATCTGTTGTTTACATATTTGAAAAAGATGTGTTTAGTCCAATCATACAAACACACAAGTTGCTATTTTTTTTAACAGATAGTTCTTGAAATAATTGGTCTGGGTTGAATAACAAAAACTGATTTTTTTTCATTCTGTTTTTTCATAGTTCTTTGTAAAGGCTTTGGTCTGTGAAGGATCTGCTGTGCTTCTTTCTCTTTCAGTTATTTAAAATCTTCTGGTGTAATTGCTGGTTGTCTTTCTGTTTTTTTTTTTTTCCAGAGATCACAGTATCTACTTTGCTTTAATTTCAGAAACAATGTTTTCATGGTCTGAAATTTAAGTAATTTCTATGTAACAGTATTCCACCAATACATAAATGTTAGGAGTTCTTTATAATTTGAAAAGGTTTTTTAATTAATTTTTAAACTCTTGTAAAGTTTAAATTATCAGAAAATATCTAAAGTCCTTCCTCTAAGTTTTTCTTTTTTGAGAGTTCTTTAGAAAGAAAAATTGACTTTAGCAAACATTTGTAAATTTAGACTGAGGCTAGTTTTGCAGTCTATCAAGTGAGAAGTGCTTTGCATGTGAACTGGGAATAATAGACTATCATGAGCACAACTTCTCTCCAGCTAATAAAGAAAGAAGACGGAAGAACAATTTTGGCTGAATGTACTAAAACAATTCCTTCATATGACCCTGTGACATTTGTGCTTCTCTCTGGAGTACATAAGGACCTTATGTTTATTAAAGAGATTTAATTAATATTCAGGATTTCCTGCCAACGTGATGCAAAATTAACACAAAAATGTGAATTGTTTGCATACTTTGCTATGAAGAATAATTTTAAGTTCTGTAAAATTACTAGGTTTTCAGCAACAACACAGAAGTTGCTGGAAGTATATGTGAAACCATGGAACTGAAAGTTCAATTAAAACATGTTTTACATGGCGGAGCATTTTCTAAATTGTCGAGATACTTCTGTTTGATGTCAACCTATTTTTTCCTTAAAAGATTGCATGAGTCTTCCCCTAATGCTACAATTGCAAGCTGTACTCAGTTTCTTCTATTGATAAGCATGTGGCATACTTCGAATTCATTTTCTTCACTATGAGGTTGTTTGTCTTAAAAAGACAGTACATACTTTTATGTTCTTATCTACCAGCACTGACTCTTTTGTGAAAAAGGGAGTATATTTTTCTTTTTGTGCTGTGCCAAATAACATCAAAAGGGTAGTGCTAATAGCTTGGATTCCTTTCTGTGGAAAGTAGTTTGTGCCAGGAGTGGCAGATTTTGAATAGCTAAACTGGAGTTAAAGTATATGCTGTCTTTTTAAGGAAAGTGAAAAAAGGGAAACAACAAAGAAAATATTCTGTCCTTTCACCTGTTGTCTGCATGTTTTTTCCTGTTACTTCTCTCTTGCCCTACTGCTGCCTCATGCAATGCAGGATATTCAGGATGGACACAATGGCTATCATTCTGAAGCAGAACCTGATCAGGTGGCAAGTTTTACTCATCTTTCATTCATTAACTGTGTAACAAGGTACTATATATTAGTACTTGTAGTTTACATACAAATCTTTTTCATGCAAGAGAATCCATAGAAAGCATTTAGTATGTTAACCGGTTATGTGCTAGGTAGGGTTTTCGTGTAATGTTAGGTAGTTTAAAATGTAACACTGCACAGAAACCCCTACCTAACAGATCACATTCATCCTTCTAAATCTGTAAGTATTGGCTGATTCTCTAAATGTCATCTCTCGTGACAGGGTGCTGAATGTAAAATTTTGTTAATTTAGAAGAAAATCTAAGGCCAGATATCAACTTAAATATCTTTAGAAATTATTTACTAATGAGGCAGATAGATCCTACCAATTATTTGAGCATGAAACTGACCTGTAATATAAGAGAAGAGTTATTAAATAGTCCATGATATTTATTCTCACTTCAGGATGTAAAATTTGAAACCTTAATATGTCATCATGTTGACCTGAGAGAGGTCACTTTCTCACATGGTCCTTAAAAGTCCTGTAAACCCTTTTTTCTTAATTAAAATCTTTAGTACGTTGTAAATCTTAGCTGGCAATGAAGGACCCAAAGGTTCAATCCTGTATCATCGAGGAATTAAGCAATTTACCTAAATGAAAATTTATGGAACTAGCCCTTATTTTAAAATTGCTAATTGTTCTTCTATATTTCATTGTTACTTCAGTCTTTAAGCTGACCTTCTGGATCCAAAATTCCTATAATGGACCTCTTCCATAACCTGTGGCACTCTCAGTAGAGTATTGATTGAAATAGAGCATCATGGGGTGCTTCTGACTTATTCTTATGAAAAATACAAAGTTAAAATATTAAATAAATAAAGCTTCTGCCATGTAATTCTCTCAGATGAAAATACTCAAATAAACAACATTAAAAATAGAAAAAAATTAACATGAGCTTTAAAATGTTCTCAAGTAGATAAAATACCCCAAATAATACCTGCATTTAGCAAAAGACTAACAACTTAATTATAAATTTGGGCTGATCTCATTGTTTGTATTTTTGTATGCTATATGTAGCTAGCATGTGAAACTAACTTGCATAAATGCTTCATAACTAATATGTTAGTAACATGTATGCCTGTGTAATATTTATAATAGCGAGTGTCGTGTTTGTGTTTTTGTTTTTTAGTATTGTACTGTTTAATACAGTTGTGCCTTGTAAAAAAAGACACACGTCCTGTGTTCCAGTAATCTGGTAGTAAAAGCACTTTGCATCAAAATGTATCGATGTAGTACAGATGGGAAGTGAGATTTACTCATGGTTTTGGAATTCTGCCAGGCACTGCGGGATGGAAACAAACTAGCACAGATGGAAGAGGCTCCACTTTTTCCTGGAGAATCAATCAAAGTTATTGGTAAGCATACTACTGAGTACTATACTGAATATTGTTAAATCACTAGTTTATTTATTTAAAAACAGAATGTTTTCTTTTGACTTTTGATATTTTAATTTAATGCTACTTTAGATTAGCTGATTTGGTGTGGATTTCTTTTGTCTTTCAAATCCAAATGTGGAAAGGAGAAATCAGTTCCAGAGGATGACTTGTTCCATAAAGATAAATCAGTTTTTTTCAAGGGTTAGTTTGTTCCATACAGGTGTATGGGGTTGTATTTCTGCCTGGAGATGCCAAGGATACTTCATAGATTCAAAAGCTTCAAAACTGTGATAACAAAGAAGATGAACTTATGGAAAACTTAGTTTTTAGTTCCTAATGAGGTTTATTTCACTTTGATCCGTGACAGCAAACTGCATTAGCAGTACAGTACTTGGCTGGAAAAGAATAGTAGCTCTTTCAAATAAAAGTGAACATGAAGATATGGGGCTATAATTGATTAGGTGGAAGTCAGTTGCGTGCAGATGAGTAATTGGATGGTGTGAGGTGACTGTGGGTGCTTTACACCTCAGGACAGGGACCAGAGCCACCCAAAGCTAAGAATACCAGCAGGGTGCTTTGTTACCTGCATGCCCTTACTGCAGCCTGTGCTAGTTGAGCCCTGCCCCAGTTGCTGAGCAGCAGTGGGACTGAGGGATTTGATTGTTTTCACCATTGACCTGAAGACAGCTCTCAGTCCTGAAAGCATCTTGAAAAGTAGGCTTTACTATAGAGGTCAAGCATCAAAATCTTACAGAACTGCTAAAATCTTGCTATTTTTAAATGGAAATAGATTTTTTTGGAACAGATGTCTGTAATAGTAAAACAAAGCTTTAATTGGTCTGTTTTCCAGCTAAAGATGTTATGTATATCTGTCCATTTATGGGAGCAGTCAGTGGTACTCTAACAGTGACGGACTTCAGAATGTATATCAAAAGTGTTGAAAGGGTAAGACTTCGCTATCTATCTGCATATTGTTTCATATAGGACTGTTGCTGAGGTAGATTTCAGAAAGTGATAAGTTTGGTGTAAGTGAAATATGATGTGTTAAATGGGAATTGTAGTTGACTCTAAAGAAACATATGTGAACAGTATCAGTTTGTGTTCCTCCTACTGTGTAACAAAATTGCTTTGGTTTATATACAAATTTCAGGATCCACCTTTTGTTGTTGATGTTCCCCTTGGAGTCATAAGTAGAGTTGAAAAAATTGGAGTACAGAGCCATGGAGACAACTCATGTGGTATCGAAATAGTTTGCAAGGTATGACATCGTAAAGACTTATTCATATTAAAGGATTTTCATCTTATTTTCCTGTAAGAGGAATCTGCATGCACATGTGCTATTTTTCTGTCTGTTCAGTTCCCTGTATTTGAACCCTACTTCATCTAGATAATATATTTCAATTCCTCTTATGATACCTGCAGTCTTAAACACTTCCGCCTTTTGTCTCAAGAGTGAATTCATAGGAAAAGTGTCTGGTTTTATATCTAGCAACTCTAGTGATGATCCTCATCATCTGATACAAATACACAACTCTGTTCTAATGTGAGTTAGATGCTGTGAGTGCCTTAGTGCTACATATATGCCTTCAGTCAAATTTCTTATAACTGCCTTTTTTTTTTATCATAGAGTAAAATAGTGTAACTTATTTTTGACAGGATATGAGAAATTTGCGGCTGGCCTATAAACAGGAAGAGCAGAACAGATTAGAGATCTTTGAAAACCTTGTAACATGTGCATTTCCTGTTTCTAATGGGCTGGTAAGTCTTAAGATGTAGAGAAGGCTGTCACTGGCCGTCATCTTTTTGGAAAGTATAGGTGAGGAAATAAGGGGCTGTATAACAACCGTAGAAATACTGATTCATAAAATCTGTTACAGAGCACCAAGCTACTCTGACCCTGTTTCCTTGTTGCATTAATTCTTAGAACATTATGCTATGTCCTCCTAGCAGTAAAGTTAGTTAATGTGTACATAACTGCTGAGATCTGCATTTGCCTAATGTTGCTGATTAAAAATATATATACGTATTGACTCTTATTTTCTGCAGCAGATAATTCAGTCTGGAAGTTCTGTTGAAAATAACAAATAGGTACAGTTAGTCTTGTTATTAGTTAGCTGCAGAATGCTATTTCATTTGCTTGTATGGGTATGATACTGATTGAGAGGTAGGAGACCAAGGTCCTCATCCTGGCTTTGCCATTGATGTGTTGTATGATCACAGGCAAGTAACTTCAGGTCTCTCTATTTCCTATCTTGATTCTGTTAATTATATGGCATGTACTTGAAGGAGGAAACGGTGTTTCATTTTCTTTCTAGCACAGTGTTGTCCAGTCTTGACTGAAGGTTTCATGTTTGCTGTTAAATAGTTTTAGAAGTGTTACATTTGAAATATTAGAAGGTTCACTCTTTTGGAACTTACTGTACATACAGCCCATCAGACAGTAATTTATGCCTTTGCTTTGCTATCTTTAGCCTCTTTTTGCATTCAACTATAAAGAAAAGTTTGCTGTTAATGGCTGGAAAGTGTATGATCCAATTGTGGAATATAAGAGGCAGGTAAGTTATAAAAGTACTTGGTGTATTATTTTTCTCCATCTCCCCCAGACACATTTAAACAAGAAAAAAATACTAAAGAAAACTCAAAGTTTTCAGCTCTGGGTACATACACACACTATCTAGATCTCGTGTTTAGATAGTGAAATGCAAGTGACACTGAGAATATTGAGACCCTGCTGAGGTTGGTGGAAGTAACATGTGCTGAGTACATGAGCAGATTGGTCCATCTTAACAGGCATTCTTAAATCCACATTTTTCAAGTGCTGTTTCTAGAAAATATAGACTTTATAAAAACCTGTGTTTGAATAAGAATTAAATAGAAGAATAGTTGTTGTTTGTCATTGTGGATTTACAGTTTGCTAGTTGCAAAAGTATTTCTGTTTCACTACATGGTCACTTTTTACCTGAGCATGCCACCTATTCAATTGGTTATTTCACATATCAGTTTTAAAAATAATAAATAGGAAAGACTTTTGGTGTTTTGGTTTATGGTTCTATCTGAAGACCTAAATTTTTAACTTACTTAAAAGAAAAATGTGGTTACACTTCTTTGTAAAAAAGTATGTAGCATATAAAAATATTCATCACCCCAAAGTCATATGTAAAGATCTAATCTGAAAAATACAAAAATGTTTTGCTTTCATGCAGGGCTTGCCTAATGAGAGTTGGAAAATATCCAAAATTAACAGCACTTATGAGCTTTGTGATACGTATCCTGCTATTCTTGTTGTGCCAACCAGTGTGAAGGATGATGACCTCTCAAAAGTGGCAGCGTTTAGAGCAAAAGGCAGAGTTCCAGTAAGTGAAACTTCTACAAAGAGGCATAAGTACTCTAGAAATTCGTATCTTATAAGAAATTATTGGAGTTCTTTTAAGGCTTTTTTTTTATTATTTTTAGTAACAGTGGGTTGGCTTCCTTCCTGAAGCAGGGAGGGAGGGAGCAAAGAAAGAAGAATAGGGATTAGGCTTGATGGGTTTATAACTGAAGTGAACAATTAAAATGTTGAAATGTGAGTGTAATTGCTTGGTTATTGTGCCATGTAATAAATTTTTGTTTGGAGTTAACACTTCTAAGCCACAGTGGGATCTGGTGCTAATTCACATATTAGCTTGTGTTCTGATTTGGTGTGGAATGTTACCTTCATAGCAGTTTTATTGAGAATAGACAAAGTTTTGCAGGTAGCATAGGAACACCTTTAAATATGTTAGATGGCGACAGTTTTTATGCTAAGTATCTGCTTACCAAGGTAGTGTACAGGTCTGTAGACTTCCACACAGAAGCAGTTTTTCTTCTCCCATTGTTTCTTGAGGGGTTTCTTTGTTTGTTTTATGTTCATTTGGTTGGTTGGTTGGTTGTTGTTTGTTTGTTTGTTTTTCTAATTAGTAAGATGCAGTAGCAGGCTTAGTTTTTATTAGAAAAAAAAGCTAAGATGTTTAGAATCACTTTGCATTTCAAGCTCAGATCTGGGGTGAGCAGTGCTAGTGTGCTGTCAATATGGTTTTGCATCAGCTCGTCCTTAAATTTGCATTTGTTGATTTGCCAGGAAGTAACATGTAGACCGTATAATTGTCTAATTGCACTCTGGTCTACAGCTTTTATAGTAATATAGTAAACTGAAATAATTTTCTTTTCTTCCAGGTGTTATCCTGGATTCATCCTGAGAGCCAAGCAACAATAACACGATGCAGTCAGCCATCAGTCGGCCCAAATGATAAGCGTTGCAAAGAAGATGAAAAATATTTACAGACAATAATGGATGCCAATGCTCAGTCACATAAACTGATCATCTTTGATGCCAGACAGAATAGTGTTGCAGACACAAACAAGGTAAATTGGTATCATAACTAGCATTAGTAGTTCTATCTTTATTACAAGGCTAAAGATTGAGTAAGGGATGAGGATGAGGAAAGTTTGATGTTGAAAAGAGATGAAAAAGGGTCTCTAAAGAGAGCATGGGAAGGAAGGTAGAATGCTTGTAGAATGTTGGAAGGGCTGGCAGGAACTGAAACCAGCTTGAAGACATAGCTAAGAAATAATGCGGTAAAGCCCACAAAAGACCAAAGGTTTCAGTAGTAGCAGTTATTTTTGTCCTTCCTAGTAGATGGTGCAGTGCTGTGTTTTTGACTTCAGCCTGAGAACAGTGCTGATAACACACTGATGTTTTTGGTTGTTAAGTAACGTTTACTCCAATCTCAGTCTCATGCTCTGCCACTGAGGAGGGGCATGGGAAGCCAGGAGGAAGCAGAGACAGGACACCTGACCCAAACTGGCCAAAGGGCTATTCCATACCACAGCACGTCATGCCCAGGATAGAAACTGGGGGGAGTTACCCAGAAGGCCCAGATCGCTGCTCGGGTCGGGCTGGGTATCGGTTGGTGGGTGGTGAGCAATTGCATTGTGCATCACTTGTGATGCATTTATTTTCTTTTCCCCTTTTGGTTTTATATTCCCTCCCCTTGTTATTTCCCTTATCTTTATTATTGTTGGCAGTAGTAGTGGTTTTATATTACACCTTAGTTACTGGACTGTTCTTATCTCAACCCATGGGATTTACATTCTTTTGATTCTCCTTCCCAGCCCTCTGGGAGCTGTGGGGAGGAGTGACTGACTGGCTGCATGGTTCCAAGTTACCAGCTGGGCTTAAATCGTGGCAATGGATGTATTATCAAATGCAGCCTCTTACAGTTGGAATTTCTTTCATCTAAAAAATATACTCTAGTGCTTCTTAGAAAAACAAAAATGAAAAATATGGTTTTATTATTGCTAAAATAATCCTTTCCCAGAAAATTCTGAAACCTGACAAGAATAACTCTCTCAACCTTATACCGAAATCCTGCACATGTTCTTTTCTTCATCTGTTTCTACTCTTTGAATGGCAGGCTAAAGGTGGAGGATATGAAAGTGAAAGTGCCTACCCAAATGCAGAGCTGGTCTTTCTGGAAATTCATAATATACACGTGATGAGAGAATCCCTGCGTAAACTTAAAGAAATAGTTTATCCTACTATTGATGAGACTCGGTGGTTATCAAATGTGGACTCCACACATTGGCTGGAATATATAAGGGTAAAATGCTTTTGATGTGAAAAATCAGTTGTGTTTTTAAACCATGTTTTTAACTTGCATTTCTGAAAATATTAATAAAATAATGTCTAGATTTAAGCACGTTGCTTTGATCAGGGTAATCATCTTAAAAACCCTTAGTTTTTAAATCGGCAT